CCCCCAGCCCCACGCCCAGCAGCCCCACGGCTCGTGCCAGCACCTGGTCACAGAGCCCCATTAACCGGTCGCGTTGGGCAGGGGGCAGCTCAGTGGGGGGCAGGTTCCGACCGCTGGAGGCAAGGAAGAGGAGGGGACAGTGGTTGTGGACGAAGCAGTGACGGAAGAAGACGTGTGGGTCGGGGCAGAGGGTCCGTACCAGCCCCCAAAAGCGGGCGCCGCTCACCTCTGCTCGTCGGCAGGTCAGGCCCAGCACTGGGCGCTTGGGGTGCTCCAAGGGTGGCTTCTTCACCCCCCCGACGACCTGCAGCCACTCCCGCACATGCCAGGCTTCTCCAAAGGGGACCTGCAAGACCAGGAGGAGGTTCAGGGGTGGCTTTCATCATCCCCCTGGGTGCAGTTTCCCTCCCTGGGAACTGGAGGAGGGGTTTGGGGGGCATCCTGGGGAACAGTCACCCCAAAACAGCCTCGGAGTTGACCCAGCTGCCTCTGTGCCTCAGTTTCCCTCCCCTGGTGCTCTGTAGAGATGCACAGGGACAGCACATGGCATCCCCCAGGCACCCCATGAGCAACCTCGTGCCTCAGTTTCCCCCTTCCTTTGGCTCCATGGGGATATACGGGGTGCACACACACTGTGCCCCAGTCACAGCTACCCTACAAACATGCCAAGCCCCATCCCAGCCTTATCTGTTCCTCAGTTTCCCTCGCCTGGCACTCCACAGGGATGGATAGGAACAACATGCAGCATCCCTCAGGCGCACTGTACCTCAGTTTTGCCCCCCACTTTGGCTCTGTGGGGACATGTGGGATGCACACACACTGTCCCCTGGGCACAGCCACCCCACAAACACCTACTGCCCAGTCCTAGCCTTGCCCATGCCTCAGCCTCCCTCCCTGACACGGTCCCCCATGGTGCCGCACCCCAGTCTGGGCCATGCCAAAGGGACCAGGGTTCATGCCGAGGAAGAGGACACGTTTGGGGGTGCTGCAGTAGCGGCGCACAAAATCGCAGTGGGGTTCCCAGGCATAGTCAAGGGGGTGGTAGATGTGGCTGACAGGCTCCCCAAAGGGTGGCAGCGCCTGCAACAGCATGCTCTGCTCCCGCTCCAGCCGCAGGAACTGCCCTGCCAGGTCATCCTCATCCTCCTCTGACACTGGCACCATCCCGGCTGTCTCAGCCCTGCTCTCCTCCATGCCGCCATCGCCCGGTGCCTGCAGAGGGGAGAGATGGGTGAGAGGGCAGACCCGGGGGCGAGGGCCTGTGGTCGGGGTGGAGATGAGGGGACGGCCTGTGCCCCCCCGGCTCTGAAACGGGGAAGGAAAAGCCCCAGCGCCACTCTGCCCCACCCCCTGCATCCCAGCGCCCCCAACTACTCCTTAATCCAGCCCCGTGCCCCCAGGACCCCCTAAATGCCTCCCTAACCCTGTCCTGGGGCCACCCCCAGTACCTGCCCCA